ATTTTTCGAGTTGTTTCTTATAAGAATAGGGTCTATCAAAATTCGCGCCCAGATTTTGTGTTTAAATAAAACATTAAAAAGTTTCTACTTTTTTAATTTTTCCTCATTTTTGTTAGAAATATAGGTCATTATAATTATACGTAGAAAGTTACATCGTTTAAAAGTTCATCACGTTTACAGACTGTCATACGAAAATCGTAATGTTCACAGACTCGTTCACGCATCATCACATGGCGTAGAGCAATCTGACTCAAAATATTTGGTTTCAGCTCTGTTCTAATTCTATTCGAAAAGTAAAGTGCATGAAAATAAACCAACATGTAGCTCACGCAAGTAATACTTATATGCAAGTGAAATACCTGTATTTTTTCGTTTTATATTTTTGGAACAAAAAAACTTTGTTTTTAAAAATTTTATTTATAAAAAGTGGAGTTCTTTTTCATCGAGTGACAGTAAGAAGAATAATAGAGCACCCCTTTTTCAAAAAGAAGGTGTCTGAATTTTGAAATTGCGAATTAATGATATTTCTAGTTTCAATTAATTTTAAAATTAATTTAAGGGATTGAAAAAAAAATTCAGTTTAATAAAATCGCCCCAAACCTCTTTCAAATCATTTCTACCCACAATTAATAAGATATATGTATGTATGCATACATATAATTTCAAATATATTTGGTAGTTCTTGTTAAAATGTCATTGAGATTGCTGTATAAAATCACGTCAAATTGAAAACCACTAAAGCAATTTCATTTTATTTAACAAAAATATTAGGATTAACTTAAAATTATTCGATTTTCATTGATTTTCAATATAAAGAAAGACTACTTATAAATTTATATCAATTACGTACATGTAGTTTTCACAAGTGCTAAATGCACTTAAACAATTTCAAAGCTTCCATTTTGACAGTTTTCCATTAATTTTATATTTGCAATTCCATTTTTCTATTTTGTATTGCTATTTTATACTCTTTTTTTTCTTTTTTAGAATTGGCATGACTATGAGCAGACATAGTATATAAAAGATTACTTATATATGTACATACATATATACAATTGTAAATTTTTATGCGAGCATTCACAATATGTTTACAAATATACTAGATCGCTAAGTGCTTATCGTATAGAACAGATTATTAATGAAAAGGATAACAAAACAAGTACCTAAAGAACTCAAACACATGCTTTTGTGGTATACACAAAGTATACATTGTTTGAACAAATATTTTGCTTTTTCTTATTGTATACTGCACATACTATAGGTAAATATATAAAAGTATATTTATATTGTATATTATTATTAAGAATAAAAAAAAAATAAAATACAAATTGATCTTAATGCTGTGAAACTTTACACTTCTTAACCACTACTCTATTGAACTCTGATGTAGTCTTCTGTGTAGAAGTAATTCGAATGTATCTAGATACAAACAAGAATGCCAAAACGAAAAATTCGACATATTAAAGCAATTATGGGTTTGATTACAAAAAGTTTTTCGAGAGAAAAGTTGTTTTACTATTTTTCGATTTTGGAAAAAAAAAGACAACAAATATAAAAAAATTTTTAATAATAAATGGACGAAATTAAGACAAAAGGTCTTAATCAACAAAGTCATTATCTCTTAAGTGTTGACAACATTTTGTTTTAAGTTGCAACATTGTAAACTTTTCGTCAAAAAAAAATCAAAGGATAATGTTGTCTGAAATATTAAGCTTAAATTGACTGATTTTTCATTTTAGGAGGTCATTTAGGAGCTCATTTTAACACTATCTAAGGAAACCATCAATGGAAAAAAATTGCAATTTATTATTCTATTGAAATTTGAGATTTTGAGTTTTGTTTGACAACGAAACTTTTGGGGTTTTTAGTTTTCCTTTGTCCGTCGGTGAACTCGTTTACAAAACTTCTACACCCTTGAAGATAGAAGGCTGATATTTCAAACATCTTTAACACAGAAAAACTGTGGCTTGCTTTTTCTATCACGATATACGATATTTGAATTGTAGAAGAAGAAAATGGCCATTAAAATTTACTGTTATCTAAAATCCGCTTTTTTCTAATTTTTTGCTATCGTTTTCCGAATTCAAGACTGCAGGATTTGGAAGTCTGAACTTAATAAACAGTTAATTTCATAAGAAGACATGTTTTTGCACCTCCACGCCTATACGAAAAATTTGAATTTCCGGCCTCTTATATTTCCGAAACTGCAAACTTTTCCAAATTTCTATAAATACTGATGAAGCTAACGGGGAATGCCAAACCAACAAAAAATATAATTGTGTTCCTTAACAGACGCAATTAACCCTTGAATTCAAACATTATGTTAATGCCTCTTTAAATTTTTATTTCAATTCAAAGACTACTTTGAATTGTAAGCTACATTGTTCATCCTAAATGTATGCAATTTTTGAAATATACTCGTATATGAATGAAAGTAATTTTAATAGTTTAGCGGGTATATGTAGATTGTTTTTAACAGCATGGTATTTTAACCTAGGGGAAAGTTTTATTTTAAAAACCATTGGTTTGAACCAACTTTATTTATTTTAAATTAAATTAAAATTCTCAAAAGGAAAATCCATTTAAGGAGACACGTGTACACATATCTTCTGTTTTTATAAATAAAAATTTACCTAAAATAACTAATGGAGTACCACAATTGTTTGAGATACCTCTTTTTTAGATTTTCAAAATATGATTTCCAAGTTAATGGTTTTGTTTGTAATACCACAGGATTTTAGTAGTTAAAATTCTAGTTGTAGTTAAAAAATAAATTTTATTTAGTAACATTATATATAGGTTTATTACAAAATATGTATATGTGCAAACAATTTAGTTGAATCTTAAAAATTCTACTCTTATAAGAGTTAATGCTTGAATTATTTTCATTTCACTAAATGTCAAAATATAAATTCAAATTTGAATATAAATGTTCTAGTAGAAATCCTCATGGCAGCTACTTATGAGCAAATGAGTTGAAAATTCTAAATATTAAAAATACTCATCAGTTAATTGCAAAATCCTACTTTCTTCTAACAAATTAAACTTTGAAATAATTAAAAATAATTCAAATCTTCTTATATTTTCATATTGTGTGTATGTTGTATTTGACTTAATTAAATAAGATTATTTCTAACAAAATTAAGCACACCATACGCTCAATTATATTAATTTTAAACCCTTCAATATTTATATTAATACCTGTAAGAATTTACTAAAAGATAAATAGACTAAAACGTATAATCTTGACAAAATCTACATCTAAAATCTCAGATTATTAATATTACTCTTAAAATTTATGACTTCTTCTTATTTGATCAAAAATAAAGATAACGGAATTTAGGATTAAAAGTATAAGAGAAATCCTTTTTAATTATAGTCAATTTAATCTTGATGATTTTTCCTCGAGGTATTTAAATAAATTAAAACACACTAATCCCTTTAATTTCTTTTTGTTTTTTTCTCTGTTCTCTTCAGCATTTTTAGTCTAATTTTCATTGTTTAACTAAAATATTTCTTCCTTAATACGGTAGGAACCTATTGACAAAAACATATTGACATACAGATTTTATTATTTAGATAAGTTTTTTACTTTGATAATTTTCATTTTCCTTTATATTCATAAATAAATTGTGAGCAATTACAACTGTACGCCTGTAATACGCCTACAAAACATCCCAGAAATTTATTGTTAACAGCTTTTACGTGAATAAAATATAGACAACAATGCTACTATGTACATATGTATATGTATGTGTTATACAAATTAGAAGTGAATAATATAATATACGGTGTTGAATTATTATAACATTTTTAAACTTTATCGTACAAACTATGTACATTGTTAATAAAAATTTTTTTGTTTATGATAGGAGTAAAGGAGGGCATTTTGTGAAATTAAATAAAATTATATTTTTGCATTTGTAATATGAAAAAGAAACATGACATTTCAAAAAAATTTATTTATTCATTTCTCTTATCCTGAAGTAGGAAAAATATAGATAATGTAAAGGAAATTACAATTATGCCTACATTACGGATTATGATTGAAATATCGTTCTATGACTACACACAGTTCATTAATGATTTCATACCTAAGTAGAACTAATTGTGAAATTTTGTTCAATCAAATAATTGTGTTTATCTGAAATGTGAGAAAAATATGAAATTACAAATTATAGAGGATGTGATTTTTTAATTTTTCGCATTTTGTGCACTACATGCGTGGCTCTTTGGAGGCGTCGGTGTGAAATCCACTCATTATATAGACTTCAATTTCAAAATCGATAAACTGATGGGCAAAGAAGGGTTCCAACGGTATGAACTTTTCAATTAAATATTTAACTTTTTGCACTCGTTATTTGCTCAATGTGTGCTCATAATTGCTCAATTGTTACTACGTGACAGCGTTTGTTTGTATTGGCGATATTACGGTTGAAATGTGCAAAAAAATTAACTCAAAACTGCAACCTTCCATAATACGACTAAGATTAATCGTCAACAACATTAACACGAAATTATGTTCATGAAATTTAAATTGTAATAATGAAGTTTTCGACTTCATTATTAAAATTAAAAAAATCACCGCTCAGGTGAAGATGAAGAAAACTTAGTAACGTGCTTTTATTAATCACTATCAATGATTTATCACTAAATGATTCCCTTGAAAGCACTTATTTGAAGCGCATTGTGTATAGTCAGACAAACGTTCTTAAAGTAAAATCTATTAATTGCTTTACTAGTACTATTCTCATTAAAATCTAGATATAAATGGCGGCGTTATTATTCTAGTTTATCATTTAAATATTAGAAATTGAAATATGCAAAGTTTCTTAACAGCTGGTGATGACATTCTTTTGACATAAATTCCTGTTTAATATGTCGCGAGAAAATTTCACATTAAATAGAAATTTCTTATAAATTTTCTCGCGACGCATGAAATTGATTTATTAAAAATTAATATTTAAAATTATAATAAAGTTATAATAAGTGATTCTTACCTTTTTTGTAATATTTAGTACAGGTTGATAGAAATCCAAAAGCCAGTTTGAGGTTCTGCAAAAAAGAAAGAAAACGTTAAATTGTATGTAACAAACGAAACAAAATAACTGTCTTGAAGTAAATAAAAAGAAATAAACAAAATTTTAAAATTACTGTAACACATTTTAATTGCAAGTCTTGCATTATGAAATAAAACCTGTGATGACTTGCATGCAATTCATCTTTGAGCAAATGAAATGCAATTTGAAATAAATTCTTGTATTCTCTTATATCGACATATACTTGCGCATTTACATACAATATTAATAATTATTTGCTAAAATATTCATAGGTATAGTTATAGTTTCTCATAATATCGGTAAAATTAAAGTACTTTCATACAATTGAATTCATAACATAAACTTCAATAAGAAACATTGCGGTGACGAATTGAAGACAAGAGAACTAAATTTGAAATTAGAGGTCAAAATTTTAATGAAGCACTTTTCCCTTCAACAGGTGAAATTTTTCTTTTGAAAATCTGCTTTTAAAAACAATCAATGTTTATATTATTGCATTATTAAAATTACTTTCATTCGTATACAAATATATTTCAAAACCTTTAACAATGCTCATCGTATGCATTCCTTGACATAAAACTGCATTCTTTAAATTAGAGGCGTTTACATAATGTTCAAATTTAAGGGTTAGTTACTAAGAAGCGTTAGTTAAGAAAAATAATTATATTTTTTAATAGTTTGGAAATTACCGTTAGTATCCTGAATTTAGAAAAATTTGGAAAAACTTGAGACAACATCTCATTCTATATCTAACAATTTGAGACTCCTACAACCTGAGGTTTAGAAGAAAAACAATATCAAAAATTCGAAAAAAACGGATTTTGGATAACGGTAAATTTTTAGGCTTTGGGTGGGGGGGGGAAGAAGATGTAAAAATTTTGTGTTAGCATAAGTTAGTTATAAGTTATAGAACTAAAATAAGTTTCTGAAAAAAATTTCTGTAAAAAATTTACTAATCTTATTCACAATACATGAAAAATTTCAGCTCTCTATCTTCAAAGGTGTAGAAGTTTTGCGAACGGGTCCACGAAAGGACGAACAGATGGACAGTCAGACGGGCGGATGGACAAACAGACTTTTTCAAATTTCCTTTTTTTTTTAGTTTTTTAGAAAAAACAATTTTAACTAATTTGAATCACTTCATTTATCAATCAAAACTATCTTCCAAAATCTCAAAAAAACTCTTAAAAGTCCTGACTGTCATAAAGGTCAATCACTTATGTTACACATATGGTACCCAGTTTTCATCCTAGACTGATAATGCGAAGCAACGTGACGCTAGCATAACGCATTTGAACTGTAAAAAATTTACTAATCTTATTCACAATACAAATTTACAGTGTCTAAGGTTAGTGAAATTCCATTTGCATAGTTCAAAGAAGACGCTATTCATTTTTAATGAAATTAAAGTTTTCTATATACATATATCTGCTTTTTTTTTCTGAAATAAAATGACGTTTACTACAATATCATTAAATTTTATATTTGTGAATTTTAAGAGTAAAAAATTTTAATAATCTCAATAAGTTTTTGTTAGTATGCGATAACATAAGCAAAATTGTTGTTTTATTATTACGTATGTTATTAAGGCACAACCTCACACCATTTTGTATGCGCAAGGACAAGCACAAACCTCAATATGAATGTTTTTCATGAACGAAATACCGAAAGAAACAAACAACATAAAAAAATTTGACAGACGTGACAATTTTCAATTCTAATTTACTAAAAGCAAAACCAATTCTCTCCAAAATATGTTTTTTTCAGTTTTCAGAATTTCAGGAGGGGAAGTGAAATGTTATATGTAAATAGGTATAAAAAAACTTCTAAAACACAAAAATAAGATGTCAAAATTTTTCTTTTTTTTTGTTTTGAGACCAAAAACTCGTGTAGTTTTTACACTATATTATTATAGTTGAACTTGATTTTAATATCAAAATACAAATACAAGCAGAGTTATTACAGATCTATGTATTAGCATACGTTTTTTATTTTTCTATTTTTGTAAACAAGCTCCCTTCCGTAGTAAACTAGAACCTCCAAGGATAAAAAATTACTATAAATAAACTATGGAAGGTACCAAAAAAATTTAGTATACACAATGGATTAAGAAATTTTTCATGTTAGAACTTTATGCTTGTTCGAAATATACTTTTTATCTGTGAAATGAGAACTAGCATTCTAAGTGAAGTAGCACTTTTCTCTTGAACAAGGGCTTAAGTGAGCGAGTTACAATAAAAATTGTATTCCTGACAAAAAATATATGGTACAGAGGTACAGATGAAAACAAAATCTTCTATTAAAGAAATAATTTATTTGTTTGGGTCTTAAACGTGCCATAAATTTACACTTTTACATCTTTCCGTATAAGAGAAAAATGATGTCAAAAATTTGAAAAAAACAACGGATTTCAGATTGTGGTTAATTTATATATGACCATTTTGTCATTGTAACATTTGAATGCATTGTTTTACAGTAATAGAAATCATGCGTTTCTTTTTCTGCGTTTGCAGGATTTTTCTTGCTTTCGATACAATATAAATAGTCAAAAAAAAGTTACAACTTTTAGAAGTTGTGGAGGCTCTTTTGTGTATGAAGTGTATGAAATTTCAGTTTTCTGTTCTGAAGGGTGTAGAAATTTTTCAAACAGATGCACGGACGGACTAACAAGTACTTCTTCCAACTTTTCACGAAGTTTGGGGCAAAATTTACAAATTAAGTACTACTTGACAATATCGTTCAGATAAACTAAAATCCTATGAACTAAAAGTTATGTAAAATAATATTTTAAATTTTTATCATACTGCAGTATACTCATGAGTGTCTATTACGTAACATACGTTGTCAGTCTAAACAATACAAAAACATTTTTCAAAAAATTTCAACAAAATCCCATATTGGTTGAAAAACATTCAATGTTTTATGATAGGAAAAATCAGGCTTGGTGTTAATCAAAAATTATTTTAGAAATTTCAAAAATGTGTGTGTTTGCGTAAGATTTGCTAGTTAGATACAAAATTATTGTATCACACTTTAACGATATTGTAAAAATTCTTTTACTATTCAGTCGCGTAATAATTAAAAAGAAAGAATAATTCGTTATTAGAGAAAATTTCTTTAAGTAACAGTCCCAGTAAGAGTAAGTATTACAATTGTTTAGTAACAAATTATTTTCGTTCTAACTCTAACTCGTTAATAAAAATCTTTCGACACAATGTTTTTTGCTCTGTCTATCAGCTGTGCTCTCCATGTAAGTAAATGTGAAAAGCATACGTACCTAATACTAATTTACTTTAGACGAATAAGGAAATTATCATGCGTACTCACACTATTTTAAGAAATTTATGTATGTGTGTAAGTGAAACTAAAATGAAATTTTTTCATAAAAATAAATTTATTTTTGCTAAGGGTTTTTTTTTGTTTCTTTTAATTTCAACGACCTTGTAGTTGAATTATGAGCTAGTATAAAAATAGTAAGGCAAAATTGTAAATTTATAAATGTATTTTTTTTTTATTAAATATAAAATTTAAAAAGCTTTACTTTACGCTATAAAATGAGATTTACTGGTTATTCAAATAGTTGTTCAAATCCTTTGAAGTAGCTTTGAGTAGTATAAAATTATTTTGGACATTTATATCTTAATTTGTGTACCTACAGATTAACTGAAATCAAAAATTCGGTACAACTAATTTTATTAGTTCGTCTAATTTACGTTCACCTATTTGGGGAGAAGCAAAAATATTTTACCACAAATAATGCAACGTTCATTCAACATTAATAACGCACTTGTACTGAAAATAATAACCTAAAAGTTTGGTTAGTGGTAGCTAGTTGTCCTAAAATAAAAATGCTAATGATTTAGAACAAATTTTGAACATACACAAGACAGCCTTCGCGTCAAACGTACTAATTACCATTATTTTAAAAAGTATAAATGATTCCGTATAGTTCTTTTATTCCCTAATTTTTGAATAGGCTTAAATAGAAAAGTACGTCTCTAAGATTTTCTGTATCGCATTTGTTATTACTGAAAATTAGGTTTCCAGAACTCAATATGCCCACAATATTTAGCAAAATTACCGTAGCAATTAAATTGGCAAAAAGAAACTCTACTATAAAATTCGTATATTTTGAGGTTTTTGAAAAAATAATCAATTCAACATCTTGCTGACTTTTTGGGCCAATACGAAATAAGGCGGTTAAGCTTTAAGATTTTGTAAACTTGAAAAATTTAAGCTCAAATGTGAATTTTACTAAAATAATGAAATATTTTTTTTGAAACCATAATCATAATTTGGGTATTAATAATTAAAATATTCAACATTAAATCTACAAGTCTCTTATTCCATTGAAATTTTATCCATTATTTTAACAAATTTTACAGAAATTTTCATTCTGTTAATATTATTATCACATTTTCTTAATATTTTGTTGTATTCTTAGACGTTTACGTTCGTCGATCTTAAGGAAATACTATAAAATTAAAATTTTAGCTTAAAAATATCTTACTTAGAATTAAAAGGAATATTAATTCATGTAAAGTTGAAATCATTAAAAGAAAAGGACCATAAAAATAAAGTACAAAAGAAGAGAGACGTGGAATAACTGAAAAAAAAAACAAATACAAAGGAATTTATGTATGAAAAAAAAAGGAAAAATAAAAGAATAAAATAAAAGGAACATTTAAATACAAAAAAAAAAAACACGTGAAAAAGAATTGAAAAAGGAAAAAAATGTGTTCTTCTTGTTTAGAAATCCGTTTTTGTCTTAGTTTTAGTTTTCCGCCTCACATTTCAATTTTAAGTCGAGAATACGGAAAAAAGAAAACTAAAAAGGAACCAAAATCCTTTACATAAGAGGATTTTCTAATATAATTTTATACATGTATTTCCATAGTTTACAACACATATATGTACGTACATATATAAATGTATGCAAAATATATTACACACACTAAAAATATGTATACTACAAACACATATACATTCATGTGT